ACCAACCACAGCTCTAGTCCTGGGCCTGGTGGCTCACTTTCTCACTCTCCCTCTCTCTCTCTGGTGATCTCTGGTGAATTAAAATAATAATAACAAATTAAATAAATATAATAAAAAATAGAATAAAGTTACATAGAAAGCTCATTTCTTAGGAGAACGTGGCTCTCTGCATGGGCAGGGCGACACCTCCCCTCCCCCCGTCAGCTAGCCCTTTCATGACCTCTAAGTCCAGCCTCACTGCTGCCTCTGTGACCAGCTCATCTCTTCCCTGGACAGTGGCGCTGCCTCCTCACTAGCTCCCTGCCCTGCCCTGCCCATCTCCACAGCCTGTCCCTAGGCGGCAAGCCCTCAGTTCACAGCCTTCCTGCTCCTCCAGCAGCCGTCCTGCCACTTCAGTCCTTCATGTGTGCTGTGCCCTCCACCCAGAACACTTGTCCCAGCTCCCACGACAGCCTTGAGGGATGGAGGGAGAGCCGTGAGTTCTCTAAGTCTGGACCCGAGGGCTGCTTGCTCAGGTTTGGATATGATTTGTACCCTAACATGCATGTTCTGGAGGCGAGGTCCCCATGGTAATGGCTCTGGGAGGTAGTGAGACCTTTGAGAGGTGGGGTGGAATGGCAGGGCACTGTGCCACCAGCTGGGTGCACTGAGGGACACAGACAGAGTGGAAGGCTGTCCCCGCCATCTCCGCACATGCCTGCCTTCCTACCCACCTCTGGGCCGCGTCGTGATGCGGCTCTGTGCCTTTGGCTTTGCCAGCCCCAGAATCACGAGCGAATAAACCTCTGCTCATTGTATACGTCGGCCAGCCTCACACTTCCGTGAGTGCGGTAAAGGCTGAGTCCTGAGCCCAGGCCCTTAAGAACTGTGTCTTGAGTCCCACCACCATGCTGGAAGGAAGGTGTTTCAGCTGAGCTCCAGCTGGGGTCCCAGACAGCAGCCAGCCCCCACTGCCCGTCCTGCAAGTGAGCCCCGTGCATGCAGCCTGGGCCGTGAGCGGGCACAGGCAGAGCCTCCCAGCCAAGCCCAGCAAACGCACGCACCCAGGAGGGAGCATGGTAGCTAGGCCGCGGAGTTCTGGCATGACTCACGGCGCAGCAGCGGAATGACAGAACGCATAGGTAACCAAACTTGGGGAAGCGATTCACACGCCACTGTCCTCCAGCTGGGAGAGCTTTGCTGGGTAGGGATGTTTGTTGGTGACATCTTAGCCCAATTCCGGAGCACTTCAGCCACACTGGCTGGTAGAAAGGCGCCACCCAATATTAAAGGCCACCGTGTTTCTTTGATAACTTTCATATCAACCGAAAACGGGTCTCGCCAGCACCAAATCTGACACACAGGCCTCAGAGGACAGGTGACACAGGAGCCGGAGTGCTGGTCACGGTGAGCTGGGCCCCTTTCCTTCTGTGCACCTAATAGTGACCCTCTGGTGACTGGCGGGGGTGAGGGTGTTGCGTGCATCACAAGTGGAGGTGATGGGCATTCCTCCCAGGAGGTACCAACGCCTCAGGCCTGCCCTTGCCTGCCATGGAGCCCTGGGACGCAGCTGAAGGTGCTGCACACTGGGGCCCTGCCCGCCCACCAAACAGAGCCTGTGCCACCCGCCGGACCGCGGTGCAGGCAGGAGACGCACTCGGTGTTGGACCCCGGACCTTCTGCAGTCTGAGCAGCACCACCCTCACTGAGCCTGAGAGTTATAAGCGAGTTGCTGTTTTTGACACCAACAAGGTAAGTGTGAGGGTGAGCACGTGGCCAGCAAGGGTCAAGGACTCCAGGCAGAGGGATGCAGCGCCGAGACCTTCAGGGAGAGCGAGCTGTGTGTGTCCAAACTGCAGGAAAGTCACCGTGACAGGCGGGCCCTCAGTCTTCTCTCTGCTCAGTGGGAGTGGCAATTGGGGGCAGGCCCCCTCTCCCTTGGGCACAACCTCACAGCTCTGACCATACCTGAGGGGGAGTGTGGCTCTCAGG